TAATTGGGATGGGTGTGTCAGAGGCAATGCGATTGGCACAGGACAGAGCAGGGTTTAGGGCTGTTGTACATAGGGTCGCTATGAGTCGCAAACGACTCGATGGCACATAACAACAACAACAACATATAAAACAAACTCTTTATATGAGCAAATGATTTAGAGTGGGTTTTATGATACTTGGTTTCATCTTCCTCATCTTTCATCTTACAAACAAGAACACAGAATTTGGACAACTTGATTAAAATTACTTAGTGAAAGGGAAGCAAAGCCAAAACATAGAGATTGTCTTTTGACTCTCTCTTACCTGTGTACTCTATCAAAGCCAGGTTCCATACTGTTCTTAAAACAGTTCTTGAAGCTTTTTTCTTTCAGAAGCTGGTACAAAAAGTGGATAATGTTAGAGTACTCATATCTTACTCCAGCCCAAATTTTTACTGTGAGGAAAAAGCTTGATTAGAAAGTATTTCATTATGTTTTATATGCTGCATTGGTATATGCTATTTTAATGTTTTTTTTTACCTTTTATTGCTATGAATGTATCATTATGACCTTATTTTTGAGATTGAAATATAACTTTTCTTTCTCTTCATTACAGCTGCATCCAGATCTCATTATGCATCAGAAAAATGAAAAAACAGAGGAAAATTCTATGGAGGAAAGGAATCCACTTAGCCTTTTCTGAGAAGTGGAATACTGGGTTTGGAGGCTTTAAGAAATTCTACTTTCATCAATATTTGTGCATTCTGAAAGCTAAGTTGGGAAGGGCAATTGCTTGGAACAGACACTTGAGGTACTTCCAGTCCCGAAAGAAAGCCCTGCAGATCTGGAAAACGTGGATCCAGGATGAATCCCTTTATGCTAAGACCAAGTCAAATGTGGCTGCTCAAAATGTTAGCAGTTTTCCCTCTTCAGTGAACAGTAAGGGCACTAAACAATTCATTCCATCCTCACGGACTCTTCTGGAGCTCAAATCAGAAAAGCTCCTCTCATTAGCAAAGAACTCTGATCATGAAAGTGGTGGGAAAAAAAGTCTCTTAAAGGCAGTTGTTGATTTACCAGCAAATAATATTTTAGGTCAGACTGGTGGTCACAGACCTAGGACAGATCCACACGCTTCCGACTTTCCCATGAAGTTCACTGAGGAGAGCCAAAATCCAGGGGAGAGCGCGGCGGTTGTGGTTACTTTGAGGAACCATAAGAGAAAGCGCTTTGGTTATGGCTGCTACCAAGGACTGGACCATCACAGAAATGGGGGAACCCTGATTCCAAAAAAATTCCAACTTAACAAGCATAGAAGAATAAAAGTGTCTCCTCTTATGATGTATGAGAAATCGTCCATGATTAGATTTCGGTACCGAATTCTCAGATCCCAGCACTTAAGATCAAGAAGCAAAGTTTGTAAACAAAAAAAATCCCAGAGAAGCTGGGTACAGAAGGTCACCGGGGACTATCAAGAGACTTTTCGGGAGAACTGTGAGGGTGGCAGTTGCAGCCCATTCCCTGCCTCAGAGCCTAAAGACTCTTCTTGTCGGCATCAGCCCTGCTTCTCAGCTATGGACAGCGATGCTGTGTTGAAGGAAAAGAACTCTCACACACCTGATGGCCACACTAGAGGAAGCCCTTTCTTGAGCAAGGAGTTTAGTTTAGGTGAAGCATTCCCTGACCAACAGAATGGCAGTGCCCCATACACCTGGGAACAGTCATCTTCCTCCTCCTCCCCAAAATGGGAGCAGACAGAGCTGATCCATGACATCCCTGCACCAGAACATCATCCTAGTAACATGTTAACCTCAGAAACGGAAAGAGATATTATGACTCTGTGTCACGACAGTCGGACAAGTGATGACAGAATAAAACTGCCAGTGTATGAGACCAACAAATCTGTGGGATGTATAGATGGGCCTGTGTCTGAAAAGACAGCGCAGAATGAGGGCTCAGACCAGATGGAGGAGGATGGATCTCTCAAGCAGAACATTCTTAGCTCTAAGTTGTTGGACCACCCTTACTGTAAAAGTCCACTAGAGGCTCCCCTGTTGTGTACTGGACTAAAACTAGAAAATCAAGTGGGAGGTGGGAAGAACAGTCAAAACACATCTCCAGTGGATGATGAACAGCTGTCAGTCTGCCTCTCTGGTATGCACTCTAACTTTGTTGCCCTCCACTCTCAGCCCACATTTGGCCTTGCCTTCCACACATGGATTTCCCTTAAACACTTAGATATTCTTTTTAAAGCTTTATATATTACTGTATTTTGTAGATGTTCCATAACCTATTTATCTAATCTTTTACTTATCTACACTTGTGTTGCTTCTCAGTTTTTCCTTCTATAAACAGTGGTACAGTGAAATTATTTATTCATATTTGATTTGTTTCTGTTAGTTAAATTCCTAGCAGTGGAAATGCTGGTAAAAGATTATTCACACTTAAAACTTTTAAGTTGTTGTTGTTA